GAATCTCACATGGTGATGAGGTATGTGTGAGGAAGGGTCTAACTGCACCTTTTATCTCAAGCTACAGGTCCTCTGCCTCAATATCATTCATTCTCTGCTCCAGTCTGTGGCAGCATTCATCCAGCTTCCCTCCCTCCTCAGTGCTCCTCATTATGTCAGCAGAGTAGAAAAATCCATACAGCTCATAGAAGGCTTCCATGTGTGAGAATCTCTCCTCTAATGTGACATGGGCTGTATCTATAATAAGCAAGAAAAACTCTTTTGAAGAGTTGAACTCTCCTGCAGATGACTGAGTTTGCTTTCTTCTTTCATACTCAAACTGTGTAGTGGTTCTTTTCTGATGCAACTCTGGACAGTTCATCTCCACCTCAAGCCTCTCCGCTATCTCCCTGGTACTTTTTGTTTTGGCAGAGTTGAATCCAGCCTTGAAATCTCCATCACTGCCTTGATTTCTTTTCTCACTGTCTCCCCTGAAACTTTGGGGCTCTGCAGGATCTTGCTCACTTTTTTTATCTGGAACAACTTATTGTTCCGCACAATGGTACTTACCACAGAAGGCCATCTCTGCATCAACTAGCAGATGCTTCCAGCAGTAGAGACAACATCTAAATCCCATTTTTCTGTGGCATACTCCTTTAGAGCGGTTAGCTCTTTTGTCTGAATTTTCCTCAGATGCTCTCGTATGACTTGGTCAAACTGAGCCATAAGGTCTATTTTCCATTGCCAGACTCAAATGGCCTGCCTGAGTTGACACAAAATTGTGCTCTGCCAGTTGCAGTATAGCTGCTTGAAATCTCCTCTCAGTGGTTTACTTCAAGAGCAATTAGATCTGTTTGTTTGTTTCTATGATAGATTGCGCTAGGTATCCATGTTTTTGATGTGTTCAGCAGACTTCTCATGCTGCCCCAATTGAGCTGAAAGATTTGATTTTTGCCATCCCCACTTAGCTGAGTGCTCTTTTCTCAGCTTCCAAACAGACGGCGAAAAAAAGGACATAATATAGTCCTTGTTTTCACTGTTCTGTGATCCAGGACCTGCATATCTTTTCTCCCTTCTTAATTTACATGTAATATCAACTACTTCTAAGTCTTGTAAATTGACCAGCGCTCCTTGTCTAACAGCTGTTTTGGCCAGAATGCTGGTCATCTTCAAGTGTAACACATTGGTTTATAGGATGACTGCTACCTACTAGTTGTAGATTATCATCTGTGTTGCCATCGCTGTCAGTTCTGTTGCTATGTCCAGTTGAAGTTGAGGATCTTGTCAGGTTGTATTGCATGTTGCAGCAGCAATGCTTGAGCAGCCTGGGCTGGTCAATGGGTAGCTCCTCTTTGTCACTATTATTAGCAATGCTAACACAAGAGCTAGTTCAAGCAGTGCAATGGTAAAGTCCACCTCTGGGGTCAGGAACACAGGGGGTCTGGGGGCCAGGCTGGGACATGTGGAGTGGGAAGCTGGTGGCAGAATGAAAACAGGACGCAGGGTAGAGCGTGATAGAGCATGGTAGCGTTATAGCACAGACCTTCTACAGGATAATATCAATTATTACCACAGGGCTAGGTATTGTTTTCACGTTGTGAGTCTGTGTGTGTGTGTGCGTGTGTGTGTCATCATGGCAAAATGTGGTCCTGGAAGCACCTACTGTAGTGGGAACTACCACAGAGGTGGTTTTGACTAATTTTGCAGGTGTCTGTGGACAGATATTGTTACTGTGATATTCACAACTGTGCAACATACAGTCAAGTGTGTAGCTGAGATTAAATTGAAATTAAAGCCGAGTTCAAAGATAGATTTGGTCTGAACCATGAGCACTGAGCACTCATGTAATAATGTTGTAATAACTACTGAATCTCATGGGCCGGAACAGCAACATGTTGACTGGCCTTGCGGCTGGTGTGATGCCCTCTAGTTTTAAATTTTCTCCAGCTGTCCAATGAAATGGTTACAAAGGGGAACTTGGTTACCTTGTGTTGTTGCAGACATCCTAATTTTCTCTATGACACTGGCCAAGAACGCTTTATCTGTAGAAAATCATCTGAAGAAGTAGAGTCTCTAATCTTGATAATTATTTTCTTCTCACCAGTCTTTAGCAAAGTGTTAATGTCCCTTTGGAATCAGTGACTGCTACCGTTTGATTCTCCATGTTGTGTACTATCATCCAACTTTTTGGGCCTTTATATATATAAAGACTAATAGAGAAACACAGGATATCTGTTCTATTGCAAAATTGCATCATCAATAAGCAACATGCCACCAATTTGTGAAAATCAGTACTTCTGTGCCACAACAGCAGGTTGGTCACAACTCGTTGAAGAAAAACTGCACAGCTGTTCTGTGGTTTTTGGCTGGATGGTAACAGAGAAGCAAATAGATAAAAGGCTGAAACTGGCTGACACTAGACAGAATGCAAATAGCCTACGATACGGTCCAGCCACATATTAGGTTTTGATTTAGTCTTGTTATTTAAAGAAAATATCAGTGTGTCTCATTATGTCAGACAAAATCTAAACATTTTAAGGCCAGACACAAGTTTACATTAGTTTTTTGACACACATGAAATTAAATCTAAGTAAGAAAACCACAGACTTGAGAACACTCTCAAAAAACAATTGCCACCATATTGGCAGGAGGGTGAAAAGTAAATAAATCTGATGGATAAAAATATGACCTCCTAAAGGGGCATCACTTGTTTTACAATAACAAACTCCTGAACTAAACTGTTTTTACAGCTTTCTGGCTGGAAATTAAAACTATAGTGTTGGTGCTCACATATAAAACTAGCTGCCAGAAGGAGGAGATGAAATAAATTGCATCCCCTTTGGGAGAGATAACCATAGGGGATAATGGATCTGAAGTTCTTAGAATAAAAATGCAGAACACATCATGCGTGTTAGTGACGCTTTTTAAGCCAATTAAGGCAAAGTTCTGTTGACACAGGTGGTTCCCTATTGGTGCAGCTGGAGGAGAGCAACTGCAGCACCTGACTCAGAAAACCCCCATGAGTTTTAAAGTCATGTAACACGGTGAAGTACTGCAGCGCTGGTGAAAGTTTCTAACCAGCATGTATTAAAGTCCAGCATGCATCACGATAAGTGCACGCAATGCTGCATGAAGTCGAAGGAGCCTTAATAAGGTACTGATTACACAGACATGTTGGTTTTGGTCTTTTCATGGGCTTTATTGACAGGAAGAAAAATATAGAATATCATCAGCTGTATTGTTTAAAGGAGCGATTTCTACATTCTGCTACATAGCCAGCGTTAGCGTTAACAGCTGTTTACTTACCAGGCTAGAAGAAACATTGTGAGTTCAGCAACAAACTTCATTCCTTTACTTGCCAACAGCTGTCTCCAGTGGTGGAAAGCAATGTTAAGTCTTGTCTCTATCACGTCTTTTCTTCTACTGAAGTTAGCACGCTAACCTGCTAGCCCCAACCCATCGCATCACTTTCCGATAGCGACTCACGACAGCCTCCTGTCTGCCCTGAAGACATAGCACTGTTCAGGGAGCATATGATAACATCTTGTATTACAGAGACAACAATGGCCGAAGGTCTTGTCAAGTGACAATCGCCACCATCTGCTCCTGGCAAGAAACCACGTTCAGTGGCAGAGAAAACATACAAATAACCCCTTTAATAAAATAATGACTGTGTATTGTTATTGGTCATATGAACTAACAGAGATCATATCTGCGTGTTTCTATTTATAGTAAAAATCGCACTATATCTAAGCAGGGATTTATTTTTCCACTTCATTTTTTCAGCTCGCTCAGTCTGATCAAAACATCCTATTTCACTGTAGCAGCGCTTTTTCGATACCCTCCCAAAGAAGTTGAAGATATTGGAAAAGTTGTACCCACAGTCACGAAAACAATGCTTTTAGGTAGTTGGTTTAGTTGATTCTTCCTGAGGGGGGAAGAACATCTCCAGCTTAGTTTCACAACATAGGCAAACATGAAAATATCCTACAAGTGTAAAAGAACCCAGCAGCCAACGTTCAGACACTGATAATGATGGTACAAAAGCCACACACCTCATTTCAGTTTAGTTAGTGGTAATGATGGGGTACTGAGATTGTGTATGTCAGATGATAACAACCTCTTTCATCTTCCCTTTTTATATATCTGCGTTTGTTGATATCTGCAGAAGTCATGTGAAGGAGGACGAGGTAGAGTCGTGGTCAGGTGATTTGCTATAATATTGGCTTTGAATCTCAGAGAGATGGCAGTGAGGTAGGACTAGTTGGTTGTGTGAGAATGAATGATCTTAGACATAATGTGTGCGGTTTTGAGTAATGTGTTTTGTTCTACACCTGTGAATAAATTGAAAAAGCAGATGGAGCGGTAGAAGGGGGCCGGTTACAGTTAAAGCTCAGCTGAGATATCACTGCTTGGTACCAAAGTTATTTGAGTCCATGCTGACTGTTGGTTTCTTTTTTTCAACACAGTAGATTATTCCACTGCGATCCTGCCTATATCTGCTTTTTCTGAATTGTCCCTGGAAATTGAAGATGTCAATCAACATATTTGTTTTTTTTGATACAAGCCTTAAAAATTGCTATAGAGCTGACTCAGCACCTCTTCAACAGTCTCGACAAAAACCGAAAATATAACATAGGTATATTAATGCCTCCCGTAGATTGTTTTTTTACACCAGTGGACAGACAAATAATGACAAGAAATGCAAAGTTTAGGACTTTTGTCTTTTGACTTTTTGTCTGGAGACGTATCTGTCCTGACTTGAGACTAATGGAATATAATCAGGCCTTGAAAATTACTTGTGACTTTGATTACCCTGATACTTTGCCCACTCCAGTCAACTCGCTGATAGCCATCGTCAGTTCTGAGCAGAAATACAGTGATTCTTAAAAATCTTCTCTTGTATTACCCAGAGTACCTCTTTTTTTTCTGCACAGCTATTTGTGGAACAAAGTTGGTCTTAATTTTGTGACTTCATGAATACTTTTATTGATCTAACCAAGCTCTGTTTGTCTTCCTAGATTTCTTGACCATTGCAACAATATTAGGAACTGGAATCTTAGGTGAGTACTTGTATTTTCTTACATCACACAAAAGTTATCCGACAGTCCAAACACCAGGACATCACCCTCATACTTTTGTTTGTATCTGTTGCACAACACAGACTTTACAGTAGGAAATGACACTTAATGGCCAATAGCGGGTGAAAGAAATAATGACCATTTTATTTGAGGATCACTCATTTGGTAATTGGTTTGAAGAACTCCCAGTTGGCAAACATTTACATCGTATGACAAATTGCATGTGTGGAACACAAAAGTCATTGGGTTTTGGAAAAGGCGAAGTTGATGATTAAGACTATTAAGACTTAGAGTCAATATTATAATTCCATGTGGAACAATTGGATTTGGGGAGACACATTACAACAAATTGAGAGATCACATTGTTGGCACACTCTTCATAAACAGAGTTGAGGATAGGATTAAATAACACCTTACTACATTGTTCGGTCTAAGATCAGCAACACCACACACTACGTCCTGAAAGTTTTCTGGAGAATTGACATCTTTCTCACAGTCATTATTTTTTTCTAAGGATACTGTATGGAACTGCAATTTTGAAGGTGTGTATAGTTTATGTTTGACTCAACCAATATGGTGGGAAAACTTTGCTGAGTTGTGTTTGTTCTTTCTACGAGACTTCTTTTTTGTAATATCAGTTCATTTTGGGACGTAATTAAAGCTCGGTCCATCTCTCGGCTTTCATTGGCATGGCAAATTTAACTGTGGTTTATGAAGTGTAGTTAACACCAGAGAGATTTTTGTAGAGGTGGAAATTACATGGGACATTACATTTAACTACTTTGTTTTCAGCAGGGTCTTCATGTAGTTCCACAAAGGTGGAGCCCTTCCAAGTTAATACTTGTTCAATCACTTAAATCTCATATTGAAATGAGCACTATCCATTAAATTTTATGGTAAGTTTGAGCCAGAGCGGAAAGGAATGTCTGTCTGTGAGAGAGAAAGACGAGCAGAGAAAGGGACAGACAGGCAGGTAGATATGCTGAAAAAAAGTCAAATAGCACATGTCTTCAAATCCACTTAGATGGGAATCAAATTCAGAAACAGTTCTATATTATATCCGTTTCTAGGTCTTCCAGTAACGATAGCCCATGCTGGACTGGTGCCTTTCCTCGTCTCCTTTCTCATTGGCTTTTTTGTCCAGGTAAGTAATACAAGGACTCTTATTTTCTTAAAAGACTGGGATGGTCTGTTGAAATTTAAGATGTTGTGATATGAAGGGGGGAAATGGCAAGAAAAGGGACTTGTTTGTGATACATGCACTTCCTTCATACAGCCTTTTAACATACATCATATGAGCCTAATCACTGCTTTATAAAAAAAAATACATTGCAATAATTTTCCCTTTACTGCTCAACCTAAGTCCTATAGCCTACCACAAGGCCAATTTTATAGATTTAGGCAACTCTATCAAGCCATATAACACATTCAATCTTCCCACGGGATGCGACATTAATAGGAGATTATGTCAGAGAAAGTTATGCTGGCTCCTTAAAGGAACATTGTCATTTATCCATGCACTCTCTGTTTGAAGCCTGCCTGTGACAGTCTGCAGTTCACAGAGATCTCATATGGTGTAATGGCGCAAATGTTTTACATAGGCATTCAGTAAGTCATTGTCTGCCCCCATATACTTATGCACTCACTTGTTTTCCTATTAACACTTGAAGAAGGTCCCTCACTCAAAGCTGGCCTCCACAAATGATTGGTGATCTCTCCTCTCATGCATGTCTCATCCACATTTATGTACTTGAAATCTGCTTGAGGCAGTACTGTTTGAACTACTGTCAGAACTGTATGAAATAGCACTGATATACATACAGTCTAAAAAATTGCATGACTTGGCCACACCTTCAAAAACAAATTAAATATTTTTTTTCCATTGTCTGTCATGCAGGCCTTACTTATCTACCTGTTCGTGGAACTTCTTCAGAAATGTCAGGTGGTGCAGCTGGAATCGCTGAAGGTAAGCAGCTGAAAAAACACTACCCACGTTTTACTTTTAGGCTCCACAAATGACACTGAAAACAGACTTGGACACCCAACTTCACTGACAAAAGTAGAAGCTTTTGTTTGGAACACATTCAGGAGCACTTAAGACAATGTAAGACACAACTGGAGCTCATTTAAGGAAGTGATAATTTTGATTATTTGATGTGGGGTCCACGACTCAAACAACTGATCTGCAGCATAATACAGTGCACAGCGTAGAAATACCGTCCGTTCAGTAATTGAGAAAATGTAGTGCCAAAGGAAAGGGCTATTTGATGGCATGGTAAAGCGATGATATATGCAAAATATATATTAGAATATATCACCTCCTGCATCACCAGTTTGTCTCCAAAATGTTCATACGCATGGGTCAGAGTTTCCGTATAGGTGTGCACATTCTCCCATCAAGGTTGTTTTTATAGATCCCAACTTATTTGTGGAGGTGATGTACACCATTTAGTTATTTTTGTGGCCCTTTTTGCCTTTATTCAGATAGGGACAGTCAGAGAGTGACAGGAAAGTTGGGGAGAGAGAGGGGATGACATGCAGCAAAGGGCCATGCTGCGGACCCGAGCCCATGGCCGCTGCGGTAAGGACTGAGCCTAAGTGGTATGCGCTCTACCAGTTGAGCCACCGGGGCGCCCCAGTTGTTTTTAATTTTATCAATTTAATTGTTATGACACATCAAAATGTATTCTGTGAAAAAGGACTATTAAGACAATAGCATACAATTTACCATACATTTGCCATTATTTATTTATTTATTTTAGCTAATCATACTCAAGTGTCAAACCAAATGATAATAGTAACAGTTTTAGTCAGACAATAAGAGAGAACGTTTTTTTTAATCTATAAGTATGATCTCTTTATGTTGATTCTAGACAGATGTTGCAGAATGTATTGTGATGGATCAGGTGAGCGTGGAGGACCCAGCCTTCACAGAGGATGAGGATGAAGATGATGGTGAAAATGCAGAAGCAGGTAAAGAAACCTTTTTGAGGGGCTAACACATGTAAAGGCATTGCCTAGTATAATTTCCGCAATTTACAGCAACAAATGTCTTATAAACAGAAAGAAGCTGATTACAAATTGTTCTCCTGTTACCCTTCTAAAATAAAGTTTTAGAAGGAATTGCTCTGATAAAATACATGATAAGGAAGACTGCAGTGCAAATAAAGACATCTTTGTTTCATCTTTATTTTACTTACTATTAAGAATAAAATTGAATCTTCTTATTGTCCTTATCACGTACCCGTATTCACATGCAAACAATAGTTGTTGACTAAATCATCTGCCCGTATTAGTCTTTGAATGATTCAGCTTTTTACCTTTTTACAAAAACAGATTAACAGTGAGTGTTGATGCTTGTATTAGAATATCACACCATAACAAAGGTATGATATATGGAAATTAAGTACTATAAAAGTGAAATTTTAAGCTGTATGTACACAACATTTTGTAATTAAGAATTAAATGTTACAAGATAAGATACTATAAGATAAGGTACAGTGCCAGTGTCCACACTATTGCAACACATTGTATTGACTTGCATCATATTGCATTGTAAACCATTGCGTCGGGACTGGGTTGATTTGAATTATATTGACTGTTAACAGGATGTTTTGGATCACTGATTTCATATTGAGATATTAATCAAATTGGTCTCAATGGGTGAGATACTCACACTTACTAAAGTGAATTCATAAAAACCTAATTTATAAGCATCATTTAGATGCATTAACCACGGAATAATACTGAGGGTGATAGCAAATCGCCAAGTTGCAAGTGTATTATCATATTTTAGTAAGGGTCTCTCAACTTTTTGATCCATTTATATTTGTTGATCCTGTTTGGTGTCTCTGCATTTCCTCCTTGTCGTCATTCCTTCATCATCAGTGTTAAGCTTATGTCTATGTTTTACAATGAAAGCCTTGCGGTGGATTAATGGGCATACTCCCTCCCTATTTTTTAATGTTTAATCAGACATCTGCAAAAATTTTCTTTGAAGGCAGCTTAAAGGAGCTATTTGTAAGTTTTGCTATTGTTACACAGCCAGCGTTAACATTTACCGCTGTTTACTTACCAGTCTAGGAGAAGTGTTGTGAGTTCACCATCAAACTTCATTCCTTTACTCTCTAAGATTTGTCTCCAGTGGTGGAGAGCAACCCTCTTGTTTTGCTTTTATTTTTATAGCTACTTTTTTTCCTGAAGATAGCATGCTAACCACCTAGCTCCAGCACAGTCAGATTGTCATGTCGCTTTCCAATACTGAGTCACTGTAGCGCCCAGTCTGCCCTAAAGAAGTAGCACTACTCGGAGGATGCATTATAACCTTTTGTCTTGTTAACACATTGATGTCTGAAGCTCGAGACTGGCAAGACTGGTAAGTAATCAGCTGTTAGTTCTAACGTTGGTTATGTAGTAGTAGCAAAACTTTGCAAATAGCTCCTTTTTAAAATAGACGTAGCAAATTGCAGGAGACTGAAGTAGTAAGACTAGAATCTATTTTATTTTGATGGAAACAATGCTATGGAAATGTAAATTATATGAAATATACTATGAAGGTAATTTCACACCCTCATCCACCCTATTCTACATCCTAATATTTTTGCCCAGCTAACTGGCCTTTATTTGTCTCTGACAGCTCTTATTTGAATATTTGAAAATGTCACTTCACTGTCTAACAATAACGGTGTATTTTTATGTTTTTTTTCCTCAGTGGTGTGTTATATGTGATGATGCAATTCCATAATAATCACACCTCAAATACTAGGCAGTGTTAAGTTGTTTTGATACACCAAAACTCTTTGGAGAGAAAAAAAGAGATCCTACTATATTTATAGTATCCATGAAGCATTAGACTTAGTCAGACCATTGGCTCCTTGCCTCCAGCTGCATTGCATAGTCACCAAAGGCACCCATTGGTCATAAGTGTGTGAGTGTGTACATGCACCAGTGTAACTAGTGCATACCCGTGGTTTGGATGAGCAAGCGGCATGACAAAGCCATCTTTTAAACACCGAATAACAAAAGATGTTTTTCCCTGGATATGAGAAGGTCTGCTGAAACAAAATAGCCAACAAATAATGTGGAATTCAATTGTTATTGTTTATCTCCCCTGCTCACTTTTGTCTATTTTTATCATCTCCATTACAAGCATCATGTGGCCAAAATCTCTATAGATGTATTTACACTTTCAGACCCACAGGGATATCAGACAATACGTAGAAAACCATTCAGCCATGATTACTGGTGGATTAGTGATGAGGCTTATTGCAGGCTGATCCTATTATTTGCTAATAAAATGTCAAACTCTCTCATTAAACCTCTGAATGAATAGCCATATGTGCACACATACATAACGCACCATTGAAAGTGTGTGTTTGTTTGTTACAGGTTCCCTCTGCCATTGTTGCATCAAGTAAACTCGTGTGTCTGCAGTGCCTTACTCCCCTGTCATTGGTTACATTTCAGACCGCAGCAGAAAGATCTGCTGTTCATGAGCTTCAGAAATGCTCGGGGAAACATGGCTTTCTGGACAGTACAACACTGCTTCATCTATAAAATAGCTTTGCTACTGAAAAGCAGTTTGATTCAGAAAACAGCGACGTAACCACCACATTACTTATTAAGTGTTGTTTAACTAGTAACGCCACTACTTTTATAGCAATGCTACTGCCCAATACTGGCATAATTACCTATTTTCACAGGTCAAGGACAATGTCAATTAGTCATTTTCCTCCCCCATGCTGCCTGGAATATAAACTAATAATGGCTGGATGTGTCTCTTGATGATTATAACAATCACTGCATGTATAAAAGTCAGTAATTCAGTAAGGCCTGGAGATCTAGGTCTGCTCTGTCTTAAACCTATGACTTACCTCTTCAAGTACTGTATGGGACAGTCATTGGTGGAATAGAGGTAATGTGTGTTGAAAATCTGGAAATGGAAATTCAGACATAATATTTAGACATTAAAGTGTAAAGTATTGGCAGGAAAGTGGACAATTACACATCTTCCGTAAACACAACAAAACTCTTCAAGCTATATCTCTGAGAATACCTCTACTTTGATCCTTTTACTAATAATAATTGACAAGTTTTTGATTTTTTTTTTTTTTTTTAAACTCTGTCCAGTTTGCTGGAGTCTTGCCTACAATGAAATTAAGCAATTTATGCTGAAACTTTCACAAAGAGTTTACGCCATGATTTAAGAACTGCCTCATAATTATATGGACCAGTGGGTTCTTTGGCCTTTATTTCTAAGCTGCTTGGGTAACCCACTGACTGGAAAAATTATATTGTATATTGGCTAATTTGTTGTCTATGTAACTTGCCATATCTCATTTTCAGCAACGGGCTGTAATTTCTTCTGCTCATTTCAGTGTTTGAACTGGTTCTGTACTTACTACCACACTACAGGTGGTTTTTGGTTTTGCTCGTCATGTTTTTGTGGTTTTCTTCTGTCACACAAATTCTTGCTGATATCTGGTAGTAGAGTTTACAGCCAGTATCATGCGTAGTTGTCCGTTAGATGAAATATCAACGGCCAAAATGTGTGGTGAAAAATATTTGGGTATAGTAAATAAATAAATCATTTTATAGCATATTAATTTGTCTAATATTGTGTGATGTATAAAATATGTTGCCAAGGCAACTTAAATATAAACTTATATTATGCAAAATTTGGTTTTGCCTCCGCTGTTAGGACAATGAGAGATTCACTGAGTGCTTGGTCATGTGACTAAGCTAGTTGTTCAATATGGTATCTCTGTGTGATGCATAGTTATGGATTAAATTGCTTGGATGTATAGAAGGTAGTTGACGTTAGCACTGCCTCAACCTGCTACAACATTAAAAGGCTTCTTATTTTATGCATCAACAGTATTTGATATTAAGTATTTGCTTTTCGTACGTTTAGTTTTCTTAAGTAAACTTTTAAATGCAGCACATTTAATTGTGGGTATTTTTCCAATGTGGTATTTAACTTAAATAAAAAATCAGAATACTTACACCACTGCTTATACATAATATGGATTGGAAGAGAAGATTTTTAGGCACTTCTTTTTATCCAGTGTTTTCCATAAAACAAACAAAGTGAAAAACAAAGTTAAAAAGCTGAGAAAGTATCATGTGAAATAAATATGAAATCTTTTGTCCAGCAGTGTCCGAAGGTATAAACAAGCCATCATTATTTAATCAAATCAGGCAAAAACACCTCTTAAACATAAAAGCTGCATGTGCATGCTGTGCTGCTGGTGTAAAGGACTGGCATGTTTTCTAATTTAAAGTTGAGTGCCGGCACAGATGGTGATGGTGGCATGTTTGTGTGTATGCGTGTCAATGCTCTACTCTTATATAATGGACTTCTGCATTGCCATAAATTTAACATGCTCGTTTGCTATTAATTTAACATTCTCATTTTTGACTATCGTGTTTAATAATGTACACTCTGCCAGGACCACTTATATCAAAGTTATTACACCACAAACAGGCAGTACAATTGCAATACTTGGCTGCATGGCTCTATGCTGGAAGGTGCATAAGAGCTCAGAACAAGAAGAGCAGCAACAGTTCCCCTGGGTTCGTTGTAGAACATTGTTCCAGTCTAGATGAGTCAGCTTAAATGATCTTAAAAAGAACAACACAATACAATTAATAGTTAAAGTAGGATATGAAAATAATAAATGACATGGTAGAGCTAAGGTTGGCAATGGATGAATGACTGTGATAACACTGTGGCTGCAGTCTGACGGTCTGATAGAACAAACCCTTGATCACCATTCTTTTCAGACTTTTTCCCACTCTGTCTACTGAAAACATTGAAAGGGGTTAGAAAAAAAAATATTCTGACAGTTCGTAAACTTCTGTTTTGTTTCTTGTGAGATACCCTTAAAAATACTTCAAAATAAAACAATCATAAGAAGAAAAAGTCACTTTCATATCTACAGTGAGGCAATGAACCTGTGATGAGAGGTCACAAGTCATCTACATGCTTCATTTTAAACTGTGAAACACTGTTCTAAGTTTGGCGACTTATCTCTTATCATTCATGTCATGACAGGGTCATCGGTGAACTGACTGCCTTGTACATCTGTCTGTCTGGGTCTTTCAGATGCAGGTTTACTGCAGCCGGATGCTGTTGCTCTGCACAACCAAGAAGAGGGCCTGCACCCCAACCTTCATCTGCTTGGCCACATCTTCCTCTCACGGCCCATGAGCCATGCCTTCAACTGCATCCTCCTCTTCCAGTTGTAAGTTACAGTGGCGTTGACCTTTGCGGGATCTTAATGTTACAACATTTATCAATCATACATTCAATAACACTGAATATAGGAGGGAGTGTGAGGCTGAGTTTGTTTGTTTCCACCATCAGTTTCATCCTCTAAGCATTTTTCCCATTTCAGATGTGTGTTTTTGCCTTTTATAAAAAAAAAAAAGATTTATCACAATTGTCTCCCAACAATATGTTCAAACCCTTTCACTCATCATACTCATCGCATCGCCACTTCAACACCAAATATAAAAATTGTGATTTTCAATCTTTAAAGGTGGGTCAGCAGGGGGTTTAGTGACATTCACACGAAACTATCAGAATTATGTGAAAAACTGACTAGTCTTCATCCAGTAAGCCATCCTAGTAAAGACAAGGTCACAGTTACTTGTAATGACTACTATGACAGAAACTTAATGCTTTTATGCTTTTAACACAAACTTAAAATCATAAGAAAAGCACACTTGCAAACTTTGTCCTTAATTAAAAAGACTAATTGGCCTCCAAGTGGCATGTAAAAGCCATCCTACAGTCATGACTGCCCCAAACCGTACTGTCTGTCCTGCCCTGAAATATGTTTTACAGAGGAACTAATTAAGGTATTTTGACATAACTAATTATGACACGCTACCTAATGTTCATGAGATACTGTCTAGAATTTAAAAGAATATTTTCTCTTAGTTTTGACATATTGTCGAATATAATCAGAGACCATAACAGCGCCACAGATTTTTCTGTGAACTAAGATTAATACAGGCTGAAGCTAAAACACCAATTCATGGCCTCCATCACATTCAAATATAACAATACAGTGAAATATCCTCACATGTTTAATGTAACAATGTTAACAAGGAGAGACTCCTGCTAAGTCATTTCAGTGTCAGTGTCCTGGACCAGCGTAACTACTCTCAACTGAGCGAGGACAGCAGACTTGTGTAAAAACTGTCCTTGAGGTTCAGACTTTATATCATTGGCTTCTGCTGCACAGTCTTGAGATATTGAGAGTTACAAGCTGGAGCCAAATACGGATAAAATATGATCAGTCCTGCGGCATCTGCAGTCCACTGACTTTTTGCAGGTGTCCAGCCTGTTTTCAGTCACTGTTTTCTGTCCTGAAGTTGAATTTGACAGCTGGTAAATGAAATTATGCTTCAAAGTTCTGAATAAAGAGACTGCTCTGGTGTGGAAATGTTTAAGAATGCACAAGGCAATCACTTCCAACAAAAAAAAATACTGTACTTTATTTTTGAAGTATAAACTCACTACAGTTTACAAACACACACACACAACCACACACATACACACACACACACACACACACACACACACACACACACACACACACACACACACACACACACACATACACCATATCTTATTACCTGGTATAAAAGTAAAGGGATGTTTGATTTCCCTAATGGAGAACTGCATTTTTTTCAGTTTCTTATCAATTTCACCAATGGCTCCAAACTAATGGTCTATCTGCACCACTCAGGAAAAGTAATGGTCTGGAAAATCATTGTATAGGCTCATATTTATTGTTTTTTTTTTGTTTTTTTTTTTTTTTTTTTAGATAAACACAGATGCATCACTCAAAAACATGGCTTCAGTTAAGGTTAGGACTGACTGTCGCCACTGGGGACATTCACTTGTCTGCCATGTTATATGCTGCACAGTAATCACTTTTTTGTATTGCTTGTATGTAGTGCTTGCAGCGTTGACAGGGCCGTGTGTTGATTTGTGTGTTTGATGTGTCCATGTGGGCACAGGTGAGGGGGATGGGGGCTTTCAGCGTCGCTGGTGGAAGGTCTTGTTATCAGAGTGCGAGCAGCTCTGTAACACCTGGCCAATCGATAATTCCCTCATTGTGTTCAAGGAGGCTTAGTGGTCGATCAATGCCAAGTCTCAACCTCACACACACAAACACACACAAACACACACGAACACAGACACACACAGCACACAAAACATGACCTGCATCTTTTAACCTTGGCGCCCCTTGTTTTTTATGTTCTGTCCTACATGGTGGAGGTGTTGTATAACAGACATAATGACACAGTTATACTCTGTGGAATCATGCAAATATACACTGCATACATACACGCGCACACACAAACACACATACACGGGGGAAATTCAATTAATTGTGTGTGTACATAAGTCACATAGTTCACAGTGATCATGAATTTTCAATAAGTTAGATGTACGAAATAAATTATGTTCTGACATAAAAAATGTAGTGTAATAATCGGGCTGTGTGTACATTCACTGAGCATTTTATTAGGAACACCATAGTAATACTGGGTAGTTCCTCCCTTTGCTCTCAAAACAGCCTCAGTTTTTAAAAACATGGATTTCACAAGTTACTTTACTTTGAGATTCTGCTCCATGTTGACATGAGTGCATCACATCATTTCTGCAGACTTGTTAGCTGCACATTCATGCTGCCAATCTCCTGTTCTACCACATCCTCAAAGTGTTCTACTGGATTCAGATCTGGTGACTGGGGAGGTCACTGAAGTTCTCTGAACTCATTGTCATGTTCACGAAACTAGTCTGAGAAGACTTTTGCATCAGGCATCATAAACACATCAAAGACATTAAAATACATTGACAATAAAAAAAAAAAAAATATCACATACAGAGCACAGTAATTCTGGGGAAACCAAACCAAACCACAAAACAGTAAGTAAGAGCAGATGCGATTAAACATTGATAGAACAGGGACATAAGAACATTACACACTTTAAATCAGTTACATTTTCTCAAAAAGAACAAGCGCTGCTGGACAGCGTCAGTGTTGGATTTGAAGCTCAGTTTGCTGTCAATAATAGCTCCTAAGTATTTATACTCTGGGACAATCTGAACCTCCTTACCTTGGATGACAGTACGGATAATACTACTAGGTTGGGATATCCTAAAATCGATAAACATGTTCTTAGTCTTTGACACGTTTATTGACAGGAAAGAATCCCTACACCAGGTTACAAAACCATCAGCCACAGCGTCTCCTCATCATTTAAAAGACTCACTATGACGGAGTCGTCTGCGAACTTGAAGATATGCCTGTTCTGATACGTACTTCTAAAGAAGTTTGTGTATAAAATAAAAAGCAACGGAGAAAGAACACAGCCCTGGGGGTAACTGGTAGAAGAGAATAACTTGGAAGATAACACAACATTGACTCTGACACATTTTGACCTTTCTGTCAAAAAATCCACTATCCAGCCAACAAGATTTAGGTTCAAGTTAAAGTGTGACAGTAGTTTCTCTATGAGGAGATAAGGCTGAATAGTGTTAAATACAGATGAAAAATCAACAAATAAAAGCCTAGTGTGGGTTTTAGGGGCCTCCAGATGTTGGATTAAAATATTTAATAAAGTTAGAGTTGCGTCCTCCACAAACCTGCCCAGTAGGCAAACTGAGAGGTGAGAGCTACTGGTCATTGGGGTTTGTAAGTTTTAGTTTTTAAGATTTAAGGTGTTACGACATGTTACACTGGGGAGTTCAATAGGCAACAAGATGGCTAAATCTTGTTGCCTATCTAAAATATGTGAACTGCAGCTCATTTTAGGGGACAAGGTTTCATGTGTATGGCAGTAGGAATCAGAGTTTCTATTCAAGTAAGCAGAAACTATGTCCTTCATCCCTGATGATCTAAGTTTACTTTGTAATATCTCTTTTTATTTTGAATGAAAGAAATCCTGCTTTTGCATCTCGAGTTTGAATCATCACTGCAGCTTTGACATCACTGCCTCTCTGTTCTTTGCTTTGCATCTTTGGCAAGTTGAAAATGTGGCTCGGACTGCTGTAGATGAGAGGACTAGCCTGCGTGAAACTTCTTAAATTCGTTGGAAATTTATTTTAAGATATGAAAGAGGAGATTTTTGAAATCGTGGGTGTAACTCAGCTCTCCAAAATAACACTTTGCTGTCTAGAGAACCCGCTAATGGATTTGCTCTCTCAACAAGCAACTGCTGAGAGATTATAGAGGCTTAAACTTATAAGGAAAGGAACAGATGTTGAGCTACAAAAGCCTGTCTTGTCATTCTCTTCGGATTGAAGCCTACAGTATAAACACTAATTTCCAATGTTCAGAAGCACCCAGCTCCTCATACGAAGGTGCATTTTGTCAAGAAGATTTCTGACTCAGTGTGTGTGTGTGTGTGTGTGTGTGTGAGATGCTCAACGTACATATGAAATGTACAACCCAAACATTTGCTTTAAGTAGCCCTCAAAGGCAACTTTTGTTTTGAGAAAATATAAGACAGAGAAGTTGTGGAGGATCAAGGCGACTCACTGCAAACAAGAAATGTTTTTAAAATTAAATCTCATGGCTGTTCATAGCCTCAGGCACCACGATGAGGCAACATCCTAATGTTTAATACAGTGTAGGAGTGCTTGTTCAACTTTTGACTTTATCAGAAGTAACCACGACAGTAGATAATGACCACTCACTATCTAATAGCTAACAACCTCTCTTTCTCTGCCCCCCCCCCTTTTTTCTCCTTTTATCTTTCTCTTCTCTTCTTCTGTCTTTCTCCAGTATTTCTATTGGAATTAGTTATGTCCTAGCTGGCAGTGAGGCCTTTGCTGCTCTTCTTAATGTCAGGTAAGTCTCACACAAACAGACACATACACAAAACAATTATTTAAGTAAAAGATATTGGTAGTAATATATATATATATATATATTGGTATGGCATGGACTGCAACTATTTTTATGCCTCCAGGCTGGCGACAGCCAGACATGTGTCTTCAGTGATCTGATCACTGCAAGTGGTCAGCTCTAAGTACGTCAGTTCACACCTGGCTTTAAAATGTGTCTCCACGTGCATCTTGGGTGACCAGTTGTGATCGGATCGCACTTCCCTGATTTATATGCAAATAAACATCAATGCGTTGTTTTTGGCAAATCAACAGATGGATCCATTGTCAATGTGCTTGTGTGTATTAATGTGTGTGTGTGTGAGAGAGAGAGAGAGAGAGAGAGAGAGAGACAGTGGGGCAAAAAGTTGCAGAATGAATCGTTGCACTGTGCGCAGTTCTACAGTGAAATCAAATTTTAGCCATTTGAGATGGTAAAATATTTGTCGGATCATTACGAAACTATGGCAGAACTAATAAGACTGTGGCAGAGGACATCAGTTGAGTAGATGGTCCTTCAATGTGTATACCAGTACCACAGGTCCTGATTGTTTGTATCATTCTGAATTTTGTTTCCCTCCTACATATCGTATCATTCACTGAAAGTTCTAAAGAGTATGTGACTGTGTGTGAATGAGTCACTCAAACATTTCAGATATAAGAAAACTCTTCAAACAAAGACTTAACAAAAGATGTCACTAAACAAGAAAAAATATCTCTGGAAAAAATAGATGTTCTAAGAGAATGAAATGTCAAGGCAGGTTTTCAGCTTCTCATAACAGAGATGGAAAGGGGGATTATTAACAAAAAAAATCTTTGTCTCCCACATCAGCCTGACCCTCCATCATGTCCCCTTTCATTTCTCAAAAAGCAAAAAGTTGCAAGTGACTTGTCAGTTCAGAGAAGCATTGCTTAAGGCTACACGATTTCACAATAAAATCTTTTTCTTGAAGCTGAATTTTTGAAAAACTGATGCAACTCTGAAAGATGATAGCTGCCCACTCGAGTGGGAGGCTCTGAAAGCGTGGCATAAAAATGTTCCTTTTTAATTTAAGCAAACAAACACATACACACACAGCAGAGATGATTCTTGAGGCAAAATTTTCCATTATTAGATGGTGAGGATTTATTTATTTGTTTTTACCACCGACAAGGGCGTTATATTTTCACCCGTGTCTGTTTGTTCAATCGTCAGCGGGATGAGTCGAAAAGTACAGAACAGATTTGCAACAGATTTGGTGGAAGGATGGGGCATGGGCCATTGAAAAATCCATAAAATTTTGGTGCCCATCTGGTTAAAAGGGAGAATCCAGGAATTTTCTATCACTTACCTTATTGTGAAATTTTTTGACATGTCTGTCAATTAGTCTCAACTGTGTCTCGTTACCTGCTCCCCTTGTGTCACACTCCTTGTCAGTACTGTTGCCTGGTGTACCACTTGGTCCTTTTTTGTTCCTGTTTGCCTTTCCTAGTGTTCCTTGTGTGTTTATTTTCCTATTGGCTGCTTACCTGGATTCGAAATGGAGCCGAAACCTGTTTCTTTGCTAAAATATCTGCACTGCATCTACCTGCCTTCATTTGATCCTACATTTGAGTCCAGAAATCTTTGAGCCATGACCGGTGCTTCATTTGATGATGAACCTTTTGAACTGTCATATTCCCTTGTGGGTAGGTTTGGAGAATGGAAGAAAAAGGATGCTAAAAGGGAGTTTAAAGAGTTGGCTTTGAAATTGGCACGAGAGGAAGCAGCCGAAGTTACCCAGAACCCACTATTACAATTAACGGCCAGCCAGACCCAGAGCCGTAACATGAGTCGGCCATTCAGGGTCCTGACGTGTCACCTGTTCCTGAGTCAACCGCCCTGTCTGATGCCTCACAACTTCCAGCATAGGGGTTGCAGCTGACGCCTCACATGTCCCTGTGCTGAGGGCCCCAGTCGACATCTGGTCGCCTGCTCCTGATCTCCCATTCTCAAGGCGACCCAAGCCCAGCCACCAGTCTCCCCACTGGTGGTCCAGCTGACATTTGCAGCGACCAGCAGCTGAATCTTCCGGGGGCCAGCTGACTTTCTGGATCTCCAGCCTCCTCGCTGATCTCGAGGTCATCCTCCAGTGTTGCTTCACCTGTCTGGTTGTCCTCCTGTTTCTTCTCCGGAAGGGCTCCACCTGTGACGCCGCACTCCTGCTCAGCCTCCTGAGGTTACCCGCCTACGCCATCGCTCAGCCTCCAGGAAGGTCTAGTCCCTGCACAGCTCTGCTCGTTTGCCTGTCCTCTAGGCTGTCCCCCCAAGCAGCTCTACCAGTTTAACCATCCCTCGAGCCGTCCACCTGCGGACTCTTCCTGCTTCCTGCCCCACTCTGTTTCCCGCCTTTTATGATTGTCTACCCAGCCCCAATTAGTTGCACCTGTGTCTCGTTACCTGCTCCCCTTGGGAGTACTTAGTCTCCGTGGTCCTCTCACTCCTCTCATCAGTTCATCTGTTCTGTTGCCTGGTGTTCCTTGTGCTCCTGTTTTGTTGCTGGTTGTATGAGGTTCCTCGTGTGTTTATTTTCCTGTTGCCTGCTTACCTTCATTCTTGCTGGTCATCTTGCCACCATATCAACCTGTTAAGCCTGTTTTCTTCATTACAATATCTTCACTGCATCTACCTGCCTTCATTTGTGTCAGCATTTGAGTCTAGAAATCCTTGATCAATAGCAGTCTTGAAATTTGACACAACAGTCTTACCACAGGCTTCAATAATGGCTTCTTATCTTCCTGAGCAGATGGAGTTTCACCAGTTGTCATGGAAAAATGGAAATTGAAGTATATACAATCAAAGGAGAGCAGATGGAAAGAATATTTTAGTGTTATTTAGATGCAGCTTTAATGCTATTGTAACATGTTTCTGTGTTGCACATGTAGACCACGAGTTTTCTTTCAAAATTTTTTGTGAAATGTAGTAGAGAATAATAATGTTAAATAAAGAAATACTTAAAGCTATTTTGTCCGAGATCTGTACAAAAACATCAGCACACTTTTGCTGCATGTTTTTATCTTCAGTACATCTACTATATCAGTACAACTACTTTGATCCAATGTGTACAAGTGCTACTTTTAATTTCGAGATGAGGTCACAGTTAGTTTATTTTTTATAGATTATATGCAGAATCTACTTATGAATTTCACAGTTCTTCCCATGCCGTGGCCATTCAAATGAACAACAGCCAGGATCTGTTGGACTTGGTTTCCATGGTGGTTTCCTTCTGAACCCACTCCTCTGTCTTTTGCTGTGGTCTGCTGAAGTGAGCAGCCTGCTCTTTCAGGTCTTGCTGAGCTTTTAGTAGCAGCTTCTGGAGCTTCTCTGTTTTCACCTCAGTCTGCTCCTGTTGGTTCCTAGGTGACCTCAGATATTTCCATAAAACGATACTGCAAAGCAGGGTTGTTGTTTTTTCTTTTCTTCTTTGATATTGTGGTTTGCTGTGATCCTGTCTGTTCAGTAAGTCCTCCAAAGCAAACCTACAACCAAAAACTACGATTAACTTTGAAAAGTCCTTCATAACAAGAGAAATAGCAACAGTGATTTTTCTGCCACTACATTTCTAGAAAAAAATCCACCTGTAAAGGTCTGGCAGCATTACAACTGAGAGTTACAGATGGCTCAGTCCAGTGCAACTCATTTTTCAACAAGATAACACAACTCAAAATGATCAATTAAATCTTTTAAGCCTTTGGAAAAAGCCCTTCTGCCACTGTGGTTTCTTCCTTGGCAATGATGTGATGATGATGAAGGAATCTCTGCTGACACCGGCTCAGTTGTATATAAAAAGGTTTATTACAAAAAGGCACAGCATCGTTGAACAAGCATCAGAACAGCCTGTGAGGACCCAAAGCCAAAAAGGATCTTCTCCCGTTTTTCCCCAAAACCATACAATTTATAGGCTGAATAACCTCTAGATACATATTCATGACATAGCTAAATCCCAGTAACCTATAGAGACACAGAGCCAACATTTATGTCCATACATGGTCATTCTATATGCATTAAGAAGGTACCATAACTCTTGGTAGGTCAAACAAAAGTCAGCTTCTAGGAATGACTTGGAGAGAAGAGCGGAGGGGGTGCTCACCCTCCTCTGGCGCCTGACTTTTACCCCTAGAGTATCCTCCTTAAACATTTCCATCCTTGACTCACAAATCAGCTAAGACACCACACCACAAATCAGATTCCCATCCAGTTAGTTTCCTCTGGTGACAGGTCTGGTTTGGTTAAAGGGTCAAAGGTCAACTTCACGGTGACATCATAATGTTCGCAAAAACTGAGATATCAACTGAATATATAAGTATTACTAAAACCTGTTACTGAGACAATTTAAGGTGGTTTGCTTGTTCTTGGTCTTACCAGGAGTTAGATGGGGGGATGATACCAGTATGGTCTCTGTGTGTTCACTGATCCAGTGCAGCTGGCTTGGCACATGAGCTGGAGGTGAAGGGTGCAGAAATGCCACTCCCAGTAATGCCAAATTTGTCTTATTTACATGCTTTGTGCTCTGAGCTGGTATGCTAAAATTAGCCACTGGGAAGATTACATCCAGGAAGTACAGAGTTAGAGACACTTACACTTACTTTTGCTGCTGAGTAATTGACATGTCTACTTTTCCAATGACTCATATGTAATTGATTACATTTTTACAGGTGAGAAATCTACCATAATACTGTGTATATACAGAATGCTTCTGTGTTTAACTGAAGCTGTTGAAACTGAAAAGTGTGCTATCATTACAGGTGTTGTTGCCTAACTCCATACACCACTCTTAAGTCACTGAAGCAAACTCCCCACCTCCCACACGTGCACACATCTCCTGTTTCCCTCACCGAAGCCTATAATTACCTTTATCAGTTAACAGGACTAATTTACTTTGTCATGGCCCAGTAAATACTTAACCCAAATAATATTATTCACACTCTGCAGGTCGGTCGGACCGCTGACACGCCTGGGTGCTTCATTATTGGCCTGCTCAGCGCCAGGGGAGTTGCTGCGATGCGTTGTGGGAGTGGGAGGCAGGGTTACTGGAGTGAAAAAAACCTTGGGCAGCCTCTTTTGGATAAACCACCTTATTCCGCCTCCCCAGGGGTAGCAATCAATAGGTTACTGCAGGTCTCTGCACAAAAACTCTCCTCTCAGTCCCACTGCTGTAGAATAGTGGGTGCCTTGGAAACTAACCCCACTGAGTGCTGCAAGGTTTAAGGCATTACTGAGATTCAGTCTCAACCCAGGGAGCAGATTATTGTGTTTTAATAATCTTTCAGTAGAGTTTTAGCTTTAAAAAGTGCTTATTTTCTATCTTGCTTGAAAGTTAGAGGATTAAAACACTTTAACCATTAATATATCAGTTAAATCTCATGTGTTTAATTAAAATGAATAGAAGGTCACCCTTGTTCCTATGGCTCGTGAGCTTGAATCTTATAATCTTGCCATTAAGGATTAATACAGTTATCATAATAAGGTAACAATCGACCATTACTTTGAACAGTTTTGTTTTTGTGTCATTACTTATTCTTAATATTTATATAAATATGGTGATTGGACACAAGTATTTTTTATATTCAATAAAATTAGAGCTTTGTTCCTCATATAAATTGATAATGTAATAACTTTGATAGACATAAGATAACATTTTGTGATTGTTATTCTAATGAAAATTTTCATGAAGTAACATATATTTAGATAATAATCCAAAATGAAATAATTAAGTGTCCATTCAAGTGAATTAAAATTCAACAACATATCTTTTCCCTCCAGTAAAGCTTAATAGATTGCAAAAAACATTTCATATTCATTGTATATAATGGAAGAGAGCGTGTGACTTCATCTGCCAGATGCTATAAACATAGAGATTGTTGCATCTGCAGGATCAATAGAGCATCAAAATATATATAGTTTAAAGTCGCCCTTCCACTGAAAACAACAAATATGTTTATCATGCACCAGATTCAGTACCACCATAATGTGAACCCAGCAGTGCATAAGAAATTTGTAGGATAAGAAGGAGCAGGTTTGTAACCATCCTCTTGTCAACAATTCAAGTCTAAATTGCAGAACCATAGATAAAAGTATGAAAATACCCACAAACCCGTCCACAATAAACACTATATTTAAATTAGCAGGTAGAACACTGGAATCAGTGCTGAACAAAGTCACACTATCTGGGAGTCTGGGTTTGTAAGTGTAGAAGTCTTGTGTGTCCTGGAGGAAGCCTCTGGCATTTGGGGGGGGGTCCATGAATTAATTGTAAAGCAGTCCATTACAGAGCAATTAGATTGTTTTGGGGGGTTCATAAGCTTACACCAGTTTTGGCCATTAGTGAGGATATGGGATGGCAACATCCAAACGTCAGATGCAAAACAAAGATATTGTTTGATGAAAACCACATAACTTATGTGAAGCAGAAATTTTAGCTAAAAATCAAATATATCTGAGTCCACAATTATGTCAGGTACATTACCATTAGCTATGAAAACAGGCAGGTTTACTGGTCCTGAAGAGAAAAGACTTTGTTTGCTCCGTGACTATCTTGAGACTGAAGATTAAGTCCATTTAATGTGTTATTTGTCATTATATGATGATTTAAGGACTATTTGTTCTTGTTAAATGTCTCTAATTCCTGATGAGTTCTTCTGGATGACTGATTATAAGAACCTCAAGCTGTGTTTTAGGAAGGGAGTCGTTTTTTGTTGCTGACATTATTTGTGTTGGACAGGACAAAGTTTTTTATTAGTGACATCATGTATGAATGTCTGACAAATGTATCACCACTGCAGCAGTAATATTTTGGTGTCCATGTGGGGTAGGCACTTTCATGTGCATGCAAAAGCAAATACACATCCACACATGGACTGCCTGCAGACTAGTAATGTGCTGCAATTCTACACTATTTTATATGGACCCTGAGTGCACTTCTGTATATGCCACACTTTGCACTCAGAGCCTTGATTCATGACGTTAGGCCTCTTGGAATTCTGCTGTAATAGCTTAGAATATGAAATAGCCACTGCCTTTGCCACTCACATTGAAAAATCATTTCAAAATATAAATGCATAAAGACATATGCTGTCGTTCAAACAAATTTAAATTAAATGTCAATCCAGTTTGTGTGCTCCAAACCTTTGATTTGCTTAGATACTTTCTTTAAATAAAAGTTGTAAAGCATGCCTTTCTGAGTATTAAATTTTTTACTTATTTGAATATTTTTATTTATTCAAATTTGTTTTTATTGTTTTTAAATGCTATTTTAATGTCATCTTAATGCTGTATTTTTAATGTATTTCCATGCCTCTGTAAAGCCCTTTGATTTGCCGTGTGTTTGAATGGTGCAATAAACCGTAAATAAACTTGCCTTGCGTTTCCTTGTGTATCATGACAGAGCAGACTTTGTTCAGTTGTTCTGTTTGCATGAATAAATCAAAGCATTCAAACTGACTATCTGTGTGTTTATTCTGTCCGTGTTTTCTCCACAGTCACATCTATGTGATCCCGGCCTTCACCTGGATTCTCACTCTAGCTATCTTGCTAGCCCACACAGTCATCCAGCCAATCACTTCCCTGCTCACCCTACTGAAAGGAATCCTGCTCATTGTCACGGTAATCACATTATTCTTTTTTTTTGTATTTGCCTGTGTAATTGTTCTGAATCCCCAATGATGAATCAAATATTTTTCAGAAGGAAAACAGCAAGGTTTTTATGTCTTTTGTGGCCGGAGGCATTATGTTTTCATGTTGTCCGTTTGTCTATCTGTCCGTCCCGTTCTTGTGAATGCAATATATATATATA